TATAGCATTGTGATATATAACGACTTATGGTTGGTAGCTTAGCTGATTGGAGAATATAGAGTTTATTGATAACATGAAGGTAATTTATATTTTAGTTTTTATTGGTTCACTATATAGTACTGTGAATAGCTCAGATGTGTAGTCATTTCTGTGACCAGTCACTAGCAAATCACTCAGTTATTTCAATGCTAAATTCGCCTAGTTATTTCAATGCTAAATTATCCTGTTTGATTTGTACTAAGTGCCTCGGTGAATGTGTATGCTCTGACTTCAACGTAGCTATTTCTGTAGCAGTTACAAGCGAATCACTCAGCTATTTCAATGCTAAATTCTATGCTAACTCCATTGTCAAGGGGTGCCTCTGCGGATGTGTATGCCTTAACTTAGCTATTTCAATGCTAAATTCTATGCTAATTCCTTTTAACAATGGGTGCCTCTGCGGATGTGTATGCTTTAACTTTTAACATAGCTATTTCTGTGACCAGTCACAAGCTAATCATTCAGCCATTTCAATGCTAAATTTTATGCTAATTCCTTTGTCAAGGCTCTTTGTTCCTCTCACACAGCTTAAAAGCCGTGATCTGAACGTGGCTCTCTCACTCCAGCGCTGTCCTACCAGACAGTCTCGCCCCCTTCACCTGATGAAGGCCGCTTGTGTTGTGGCCGAAACGTCGTGAGAATATTATTGTGTTATTTTATTTTATCAATTTATTATTTTATTCTCATTCTACGTGACTTTACTGAAAGAACCAAAGAAGATGAATCATTGCAGTCACGAAAGCTTTAAATCGAAATTTCAGTCACAAGCTAATCACTCAGCCATTTCAATGCTAAATTATATGCTAATTCCTTTGTCAAGGCGCTTTGTTTCCTCTCACACAGCTTAAAGGTCGTGATCTGAACGTGGCTCTTTCACTCCAGCGCTGTCCTACCAGACAGTCTCGTCCCTTCACCTGATGAAGGCCGCTTGTGTTGTGGCCGAAACGTCGTGAGAATATTATTGTTATTTTATTTTATCAATTTATTATTTTATTCTCATTCTACGTCACCCTGTACATGCCTACATGTTGGAACCCTTTTGGATCAACTTTTTACCCCCACATCTGGTGGGGGGGGGGGGGTCCACTTTCTATAACTTTTAGATCCAGGCCCTTCTGAAAGGCTCTCATAATTTAGCTTGACGGACAATCGGAACGCCGGGCTTTAAAAAAAAAAGATGCATTGAGAGTATTTTGCCGCTATAAATGTCCAAATGATGGGGGCCACTTTGTTGAGCTCATCATTGGTTTAGTGTTTTGTATTTGTTTGTGTTTGGACGATTTGTTCATCTTGTACTTTGCACTACTGTCGTGTTTTTGTGCTGTTTGTTGTTGTAACGTTCTTACCCTGTGCCCCTACTGGACATCTGTGAAAAAAAGCTTTACAGCTCATCGGATTCCTCCTGCAGTGTAAATATGATTCTGCGAGCGATTGAAGACTGTGTGGTGGTGGGTGGGTGGTGGGTGGGTTAAAAATCGACACTATTGTTGACACTTTATTTCGCCGTTCTCAAAAAAATAATAATCTCAAGACAAGTAAACGCATTGTGTGTTAAACAGCACCACGTAACAAAACACAAACGAAAAAAAGGCAGCACGGACACACGCGAGATGTGGGCCACGATAGAGCAACAGACACGTGGAAAATATTAGCAGCATAAATAAAGTTACCCCTTTTTTATAGACAAAGATCCCCCCCATATACAGACTGTTGGGGCAAGTGCTGTTAGCGAGCACCTATGAAGGCCGGCACGGCACACGAGGGGGGTGGGTGGCCAGCAACTACGCCCGACCGTCTTTGTCACCCCAGTGGCGATGTTTATACACCGCACCAGGTACTCATTTGAGGCCGAGTCGACCCTAGGGAAGGCCCAGGACCGGTTCAGATAGAATCGTCGCCGGTGTTGGTCGTGAGTGGGAATCTAAATCGGCTCGCTGGGTTCGTAGCGCGGCGTAGCGCTTACCACTGCACCAGCGCCCCCATCTACACACACACACATATATAAACAGAACGTCACGCAAACTCGACTAAGGTTTTCAAAGTCTTAAATAGAAGTGCCTTAAACATTACGGTTAAAATGTGCAATTATTTGAACAATTAATTTTTATATCCATTTTCTGCCCTCCTGTCAATTCACTGCTCGATCGGTCTTCTAATGATGCAGTTTTTTGGCGTTGTAGGGGATTGCTTGACCATACTTCACCATTGCTGGTCAGTGAAGGTTGGTGAATGATGGGCGGGCGGGCGGGTGATAGGCAAGCACAGGTACCGGTTCAGACACTCGCCACCGATCTTGGCCGTGGCTGACCACCGCACCCCCACGACGCTCCACACACAACAAAAATAACAACATCCGTCTCGTGGAATATCTTTTTGTTAAAGGCGACACACATTGTCACAGCCATCAAAATGTAGAGGGGTTAAAGTGCAGTAAAACTCGTCTTGTGCTATGCTCCCGTGCCCGTACCAAACGCAAGGGGATGTGAAGTACAGCCAAAAAAAACCCCACTCTGTCGACCCGCATCGCTTGAGGCGGACACTCCCCTCATCCATCCAGCAGTGGATTGCCAACGGGGCTTTCGCATAATTCAGATCGCATAAATATATATGAATGCGTCGTTACGGCCCGCCACCATCCGACGCAGCCAATGAGTAACGTTGTGTCACGTAAACAGAACGTGCCAATTCGTTTACGGGTACAGCAACACACCGGTGTGTTGGAGAGCAAGTGGGGAGAGCAAATTGTAACTGTTGTAGATTTGCTATCCAACACACAACCGGTGTGCTGTACTAGTAACGAATTGGCACGTTCTGTTTACGTGACACAACGTTACTAATTAGCTGTGTGGGGTGGTGGCGGGCCTAACGACACATTTACGCGATCCAACCCAAAAAACCTGCATTATGGACAACCCCTCATCCTAGGCCGAGATGCAACCGAGGGCTGCCCCCCCCCCCCGTCTCAGGCCATCCCTAAATTACCTTTTTGCAGTCGCTTCTTCGTTCGTGAAGATTTTTTTTTTTATTCCAGTCTGGCGAATCGTTGTCACTCCGCTCACGTCACACCCCCCCCCGCCCCCGCCCCCCAATGTTCTTAACTGCATCAATGTGACCCGCTGACAAAAGACTGGACGATAACCGCTTAGGTTTTTTTTTACCTCTACCCCTCTCTTTTGCACCCCCTGGAGTGCCGGAGACGCGGGGCCATCCTCGCCAAGTCTCCGCACACGTTCACTTTCGGGGGGGGGGGGGTTAAGCTTCCCTTCCTCCTTTCAAAGACATTAACTCTCGCCCTCAACTGGGCTAGGCAGGTCTCCAAACTATTTTGTAAATTCCACATCCTTTGTGACGTGGGCCCACCCCCTCCCCGAGTCTGTCCTCAAACCGCAAACGAACCACCGCGGTGTCAATTCTCGCAGGGCAGACCGAACCGACAATGTCTGGCAGGCGGATCGCCACTCCGGTGCGAGTCAACGAACACGCGCATATACCCCCCGGGGGGGGAGGGTGCACGATTTGAACTTGGTGACCTCGCACAGCTGCATTTCAGATATTAAAAATGCGGCACCCTGTGCGTACTTTCGCTCGTACGCAGCATCTTCACTGCGACGGACGCTCAAAATAAGGGCAATTAGCCAGGCGTACAAATAAGCGGACAAAACGTTCTCAAGACGCGAACGAGATCCTTCGGAAAGCCCAACGCCACCGCCACGGTGGTCTTTAACCACAATACCGGGGTTCACCAAAATAAGAGCCAGGGGTTGTTATTTTTTGCCGTCGCCTAAGAGAAAGTTCTCAACATTCGGCCCGACTTGCCTCGGGCCGAGAGGTCTCTCCAAAGTCAAGCAAATTCTCGTCAACTTGGCAGTCACAGAAAGTGCGACAATTTTTTAGCAGGCTGCTCTTCAAGACCTTGACATTTCAGCTGGCATCTGCTTTTTTGCACGGAGGCTGACCTCGCCAAAGAAAGCAGAAAAGTTTTTGCCATGCGGCCTTCCTCAAGAAGCTCTATCCTTCTTAAGAACGCTTTCAAAGAAACGCTGATCTGGTGGTTGTGTTATGATAACGATGAGCGTATTCTTGGTTCTTTCGGTAAAGTCACGTAGAAGGGAAACGATAAAATAATAAAAATATAAAACAATTGTAAAAATATAAAACAATTGTTTTATATTTTTATTATTTTATTGTTTCCCTTCTATGTGACTTTACCGAAAGAACCAAGAATATGAATCCCTGCAGTCACGAAAGCTTTAAATCAACGATGAGCATGCTCGTAAGTAGTGTAACAATGGTGTAATGGTGATGTAACGAAAATTATGGTGGTGGTGATGATGGCGATGATGATGATGGTGTTGCAGCGGTGTGATGATGACAACGGTGGTATGACCGTGATGATGTTGTGATGGTTTGATGGTGGCGATGTGTTGGTGATATTTGTGGATCTGTGTTGACAAACGTGTGCACGTCTGTTTGGATTATTGCGTGTGTGCGTGCGTGACGTGTGTGTTCTACAGACAACGTCACTGCATCTCCACGCGTGTAAAAATACGACGGTGCAAACCCCACAGCAAATACCGCGCACACACAAATATCCCACATATAACCTTTAACAGATTGTCAGGGCAAGCATCAGAGTCGGAAGGGCACAGGAGGGGGGGTGCGAGAGTGGGTGGCCAACGCCACGCCCCAACGCCGCCGTTAACACACTGCACCAGGTACCCAACTGAGACCCGAGTCGACCTCGTGGGGGGCCCCAGGACGAGGTTTAGATATTTCGCCGCCGCTACTGTCGGGGTCGTGAGCGGGGAAGCTAATTCTGGGGGTCGTGGCGCAGCGCGCTAACCGCTGCGCCGCCGCTCGTCATCGCCCCCCCCCCCTCCCCCTCCCCCGCCCCCCCCAACTTCCGTCGTTTAACGCCGGCGCCGCTTGCGAGACCACGCACCCCTCCCCCCCCCCACCACCACCCCGTCACGGCGGGGCGCCGTCGCAGACGTCGACGGCGCAGAACTTGAGGAAGCGCGAGGCGTCGAGGGCGGGGCACTGGCTCACGCCGAGCCACGCCGGCGCCGAGAACTTGGCGTAGGAGGAGCGCAGGCGCGACGACTGCACCCCCAGGACGAGGCTCGACATGCGGTGCATGCAGCGGTAGAGCAGGCGCTCGCTGGTCACGGGGGGTGGGGGGATGGGGGCGGGGGCGGGCGGGCAGGGGCACGTGGGGGCACGGGGTCGGCGGAGTTGCGGCGGACACGCGGAGAGGGAGAGACGGAGAGAGAGAGAGAGAGATAGAGAGGGTAGAGAGACTCTCCGGAGAGGTGTCCATGTCACATGATGCACGGGCAAGGTCACCGTTAAGGTCAGATTCACTACGGACAGAGAGAGGCACTCTCCGGAGAGGTGTCCATAAACGATAGGCAAAGTAGGTCCAGCAGGTCACATGATGCACGGGCATGGCCAGAGTGACCATTGACACAGCGAGAGACACAGGCACAGCAGGTCACATGATGCACGGGCATGGCCAGAGTGACCATTGACACAGCGAGAGACACAGGCACAGCAGGTCACATGATGCACGGGCATGGCCAGAGTGACCATTGACACAGCGAGAGACACAGGCACAGCAGGTCACATGATGCACGGGCATGGCCAGAGTGACCATTGACACAGCGAGAGACACAGGCACAGCAGGTCACATGATGCACGGGCATGGCCAGAGTGACCATTGACACAGCGAGAGACACAGGCACAGCAGGTCACATGATGCACGGGCATGGCCAGAGTGACCATTGACACAGCGAGAGACACAGGGACAGCAGGTCACATGATGCACGGGCATGGCCAGAGTGACCATTGACACAGCGAGAGACACAGGCACAGCAGGTCACATGATGCACAGGCATGGCCAGTGACCATTAACACAGCGAGAGACACAGGCACAGCAGGTCACATGATGCACGGGCATGGCCAGAGTGACCATTGACACAGCGAGAGACACAGGCACAGCAGGTCACATGATGCACGGGCATGGCCAGTGACCATTAACACAGCGAGAGACACAGGCACAGCAGGTCACATGATGCACGGGCATGGCCAGAGTGACCACTGACACAGCGAGAGACACAGGCACAGCAGGTCACATGATGCACGGGCATGGCCAGAGTGACCATTGACACAGCGAGAGACACAGGCACAGCAGGTCACATGATGCACGGTCACCGTAATGGTCAGAGTGGCCACGGACACAGAGAGAGAGGCGTTCTGTGGAGACGTGTCCATAACACACAGGCACACACACATATATATACAGTATATAAACACGTGTCCATAAACACACACGCAGGTTATGAACACAGGTAAACTAAGGTCGATAAACAGGGCTTCACAGAGCTGCTAGGAGACATTTCTGTAAACACAGCCATATAAACGTGTCCATTAACAAGCATAAAGATATACGTCTCAAACCTGTACGAGTGTCTCTCTCTCCCCGCTCACCTCTAAGGGTGTTTCTCTCTCACTTGTACAAGTGTCTCTCTCCCCACTCACCTCTAAGGGTGTTTCTCTCTCACTTGTACAAGTGTCTCTCTCCCCACTCACCTCTAAGGGTGTTTCTCTCTCACTTGTACAAGTGTCTCTCTCCCCACTCACCTCTAAGGGTGTTTCTCTCTCACCTGTACGAGTGTCTCTCTCTCTCCCCTCACCTGTACGAGTGTCTCTCTCTCTCCCCTCACCTGTACGAGTGTTTCTCTCTCTCTCACCTGTACGAGTGTTTCTCTCTCTCCCCTCACCTGTACGAGTGTTTCTCTCTCACCTGTACGAGTGTTTCTCTCTCACCTGTACGAGTGTTTCTCTCTCACCTGTACGAGTGTTTCTCTCTCACCTGTACGAGTGTTTCTCTCTCACCTGTACGAGTGTTTCTCTCTCACCTGTACGAGTGTTTCTCTCTCACCTGTACGAGTGTTTCTCTCTCTCTCACCTGTACGAGTGTTTCTCTCTCTCCTATACGAGTGTTTCTCCCTCTCTCCCCTCACCTGTACGAGTGTTTCTCTCTCTCTCACCTGTACGAGTGTTTCTCTCTCCTATACGAGTGTTTCTCCCTCTCTCCCCTCACCTGTACGAGTGTTTATCTCTCTCTCACCTATACGAGTGTTTCTCCCTCTCTCCCCTCACTTGTACGAGTGTTTCTCTCTCTCTCACCTGTACGAGTGTTTCTCTCATTCTCTCTCACCCGTACGAGTGTTTTTCTCTCTCTCTCACCTGTACGAGTGTTTCTCTCTCTCCCCTCACCTGTACGAGTGTTTCTCTCTCACCTGTACGAGTGTTTCTCCCTCTCTCCCCTCACCTGTACGTGTTTCTCTCTCCCTCACTTGTACGAGTGTTTCTCTCATTCTCTCTCACTTGTACGAGTGTTTCTCTCTTTCCCCTCACCTGTACGTGTCTCTCTCTCTCCCCTCACCTGTACGAGTGTTTCTCTCTCACCTATACGAGTGTTTCTCCCTCTCTCCCCTCACCTGTACGAGTGTTTCTCTCTCACCTATACGAGTGTTTCTCTCTCACCTGTACGAGTGTTTCTCTCTCACCTATACGAGTGTTTCTCTCTCACCTATACGAGTGTTTCTCCCTCTCTCCCCTCACTTGTACGAGTGTTTCTCTCTCTCTCACCTGTACGAGTGTTTCTCTCTCTCTCACCTGTACGAGTGTTTCTCTCATTCTCTCTCACCCGTACGAGTGTTTCTCTCTCTCCCCTCACCTGTACGAGGAGTAGTAGCTGAGCGTGTCAGTCCACGCCGTCTCCCCGTCGCCGATGCTCATCACGCCCTGCCGGTACTCCAGCATCACGTGCCGCGCCAGGCACAGTGCACCGGCCGCCAGCTGCATGGCGCCAAACGTCACCGAATCGACGTCGCTCAGCGACAGCTCCATCAGGTAAGTGGACAGGAAGTTGATCTGGCTCGTGGGGTCAGGGGTCAGAAGTGGGTGCGGTGGGGGGGGGGCGGTGGAAATCGCAAGGTCACACAGGTCGCCCCTTATAAAACCCTCTTGACGATCGCCCCTGTTAACAACGAATCGCTTAACGACTAATCGCTTAGCGACTAATCGCTTACCCCATAGAGCCCAATGTGTTTGCTTACCGACCATTCCCCTGTTGACAGGCTGTTGTAGGTACAATCAATATTAATTAATGCATTGACTAACCATGTTTCTTTTAATAGTATGTATTTATAATTGTGTTGGTATCTTTATGTGTTGCTATCGATTGCTTAAATATTCTAAAGTACGTTTTTTGGGTGAAAAAGGGGTAACTTTCGATGCTCTCAGAACGAATTAAGCCTTTAAATGTTTATTTCCTATCCTCGCTTACTGACCAAACCACTTACCGACCAGTTTCATGGAACCAATTACCGCGCCTAAGATGAAGGGGCTACTGTATTGTTGTTGTTGTGCTTGTTTACCCAGGAATTCTTCACCAAGTCTCGAGACCAGGGGTCGCCAACTGGGGTCTCACCGAGCCCCAATGCGGCTCTTTAATCAAGCACACGAGGGCTCTATGGAAGGGGCCATAACGTAGAACGCCGCACTAGCACAGTACAGGGACTCCTCTACTTACGAAGTTTCAGAGATACGAACAAACCTGGTCCGTACGTCCAGTTGCCTGTTCGGACGAAGAGTCGCAAGTTAAACCGCCACGAAATAGATGGAGATTGTGGCATCTATAGCTGCAGAACGTGAAGAACCAGTGGCATCTACAGCTGCAGAACGTGAAAAACCAGTGGCATCTACATCTGCAGAACGTGAAGAACCAGTGGCATCTACATTTGTAGAACGTGAAGAACCAGTGGCATCTACATCTGCAGAACGTGAAGAACCAGTGGCATCTGCATCTGCAGAATGTGAAGAACCAGTGGAATCTACATCTGCAGAATGTAAAGAACCAGTGGCATCTGCAGAACGTGAACAACCAGTGGCATCTACATCTGCAGAACGTGAATAACCAGTGGCATCTGCATCTGCAGAACGTGAAGAACCAGTAGCATCTACAGCTGCAGAATGTGAAGAACCAGTGGCATATATATATTTGCAGAACGTGAAGAACCAGTGTGGCATCTACAGGAGATTATACAACTTTTAAAGCCATCTCCCGTGTTTAGTGTACATGCCGTACAACACGTTTGGAATCGACAGGAGTAAAGTTGGACTTACAAACAAATCGACTTAAGAACAGACCTCTGGAACCTAACTCGTTCGTAAGTAGAGGAGTCCCTGTAGTGGCAAAGAATAATAAAAGAATGTCTCCCGTGCTGTATAGAAAACTGTTTATATATAAACACACTTGGCTCTTTGCAGAACTCTTGGGGAATGTTTGGCTCTTGGTCTGTTAGAGGTTGGCCACCCCTGCTCTAGATTCAAATAAAACACACGCAACGTGACTGGCGTTGTTCAACAGCCGAACATCGCAATGCCGAAAAGACTTCCTGCAAATTTACTCAATTGTATATATGTACATTTGTTGAACTTCTTTTGCACCGTATGTAGGCCAACCGCGCTAATCAGAGGCGCGGGGTGGGGGGAAGGACAACAAACTCAAACGCAAAAAGTGAGTTTTCAATTTAGATGATGATTTACAAGTGCACACAGCTCCCTCCAGCGGCTTTCTAAATGTTGGAAGGAAAGAGCGTTCCAGACGGCCGCAGAAGTGCATCTGAAAGCGGCGCGCGACGCGCTTGGGGGACCGTACGGAGCAGCAACTTAGCTGCGCGCTGCGAAATTTTGGCAGGACCCCTCCTGGAAAAAAAAAATTACTCCTGAGACTCGAGCGTCAGAATAAAAAACCAATGGTTTGCTAGCCGGCTCCGTGTAGCCTCAGCAGACTGTGGGGGCAAGTGCTGTTGAGATCATTTAGATTAATTGTCACTAGAAATGTCCAAATTATGGGGGCCACTTTGTTGGGCTCATCATTTGTGGTGGCCAGGCAGCTTCTGAAAAATAAGTTAATAACCGAGTGGGCTTTCGTTGGTAGGATGGGGGATGGTTTAGTGTTGTAGTTTGTTAGTGTGTTGGGTCATTTGTTGACCTTTCTTGTACTGTGTGCTACTATGGTGTTTGTGTGCTGTTTGTTGTTGTAACGTTCTTACCCTGTGCCCCTACTGGATATCTGTGGGAAAAAAAAAGCTGTATGGCTCATCGGATTCCTCCTGCAGTGTAAATGTGATGATTCTGCGAGCGATTGGTGGTGGATTAAAAAATCGACACTATTGTTGACACTTTATTTCGCCGTTCTCAAAAAAAAAAGAATTTCGAGACGACTAAACGCACTGTGTGTTAAACAGCACCACGTAACAAAACACAAACGAACAAAAGGCAGCACGGACACACGCGAGATGTGGGCCACGATAGAGCAACAGACACGTGGAAAATATTAGCAGCATAAATAAAGTTACCCCTTTTTTACAGACAAAGATCCCCCCCACCCGTGTAGCCTTAACAGACTGTTGGGGCAAGTGCTGTTGTTGAGATTATTTAGATACATTTTGTCACTAGAAATGTCCAAAGGATGGGGGCCCACTTTTGTTGAGCTTATCATTTTTGGTGACCAGGCAGCTTCTGAAAAAAATAAGTTAACACCTCGGTGAGCTTTGCCTTGATGGATGGGGATGGTTTAGTTGTATTTGTGTTAGGCCATTTGTTTACCTTGTACTTTGCACTCCTATCGTTTTTTTGTACTGTTTTTGCGTTCTGACCCCGTGCCCCTACTGGACATCTGTGAAAAAAACCAAACTTTATAGCTCATGGGATTCCTCCTTCAGTATAACTACAGATTCTGATTATGTTAGCGAGTAGCACTTATGAAGGCCGGCACGGCACGTAAGGAGGGCGGTGGGGTGGGTGGCCAGCACCATACGCCCGGCCGCCTTTGTCTCCCCGGTAGGCGATGTTTTTACACACCGCGACGTGTCGACCCAGGGGAGGGCGCCAGGACCGGTTTTGGATAATTATCGTAGTGTCAACGGTTGTTGGCCGTGAGATTGGACGAGGGGGGGGGGGGGGGGGGGGGGGGGGGAGGCGGGGTCGGGGGTCGTCGGGGTTGAGGGTTTGGGGGCTCGAGGGGTCGTTGTGTCCGTGTGTTCGGGGCCTGAGCGCGCGCGCACCTCCTGGCAGGCGTCCGACAGATGCAGCAGCACCTGCAGCAGGTGCAGCGGCTGGACGTAGTAGAGGCTGAACTTGAGCCGCTCCAGCAGCAGGCGCTCCATGCGCAGCAGCTGCTCCTTGCGGTAGGTGTGCTCCATCAGGTAGCACAGCATGTGCACCTGGGCAGGGGTCAACACGGGGAGCGGTGGGGGGGCTCAGCCGAGGGGGTCAGGGGTCAGCCGAGGGGGTCAGGGGTCAGCCGAGGGGGTCAGCGGCGGGCCCCGCGGATGGCGACGCGCCATCCGCGGGATTCGCGGCGGCTCACGGCAGGGACGCCGTGAGCCGCTGCGAACCTGGCGACCCGGGTTCGATTCCCGCTCACGGCCAACACCGGTGACGATTATCTGAACCGGTCCCGGGCCTCCCCTAGGTCGACTCAGCCTCAAATGAGTACCTTGTGCGGTGTGTAAACATCGCCACTGGGGAGACAAAGGCGGCCGGGCGCGGCGTTGGCCACCCCACCCCCTCGTGTGCCGTGCCGGCCTTCATAGGTGCTGCTCGCTAACAGCACTTGCCCCGACAGTCTGTTGCAGGCTACACGTGGGGGGGGGGGGGTCTTTGTCTTGCCTCTGGCACGGAGCTCTCCTCCATCTTGCAGGCCACGTAGAGGCACGTCATGCCCAGCAGCTGCAGCGTGGGGACGTGCACCTCGGCGACGCGCAGGTACGCGTTGAGCAGGTACACGGCCAGGTACAGCGTCTCCTCCGACATGTCAAAGTACACCTGCGCGCACCGTTGTGCACGCACGCAGCCACGCGGTTACACGGTGGGGCAGCCTTCGCGCGGCGCCGTCCCGTCACGCACAAGCATCTGCCCCGTGCACCAGCCCGCAAAGGACGCCGGCTGTCAAATGCGTCGTGAACCACCGGGATAAGCCGTCGGCATTTGGCGCCGGCTGTGCAGGGCGCCGGCGGTCACCCGGCCCCGCACGCGTGCGCTCACCTGCACCTGCACGAGCCAGTCGACGAGCAGGCCTCGCATGCGCTGAGTCAACGCCTGGGGGACGTCGGAGACGCGGAACTGCTGGTGCTGATGGCGCCGCTATGGGGTGTGCGGGGGAGGGGGTGGTGGGTGGTGATGGTGGCGAGGGTGGCGAGGGCTCTTGGGTTAGGTTACTTAAACATATGTGTCGTTAAACCCGCCACCAGGTTTGTCACGTAAACAGAACGTGCCAATTCGTCACTAGTACAGCACTAGTGTATAGTGTAGTGTATAATGTAGTATACTAGTACAGCACTAGTGTATAGTGTAGTGTATAGTGTAGTGTATAGTGTAGTGTATAGTAGTGTAGTGTATAGTAGTGTAGTGTATAGTGTAGTGTATAGTGTAGTGTATAGTGTATGATGTAGTGTATAGTGTAGTATACTAGTACAGCACTAGTGTATAGTGTAGTGTATAGTCTAGTGTATAGTAGTGTAGTGTATAGTGTAGTGTATAATGTAGTGTATAGTGTAGTATACTAGTACAGCACACCGGTTGTGTGTTGGAGAGCCAAGCCGCAACATTTACAATCCGAGTACGACGTTTCGCCAGTAATTACAACCGGCACCATCAGGCGACAGCCAGGTCTGCATGTCTCTCTCTCTCTCTTTCTATCCCCGTGGTCGCGTGGATTTTATTTTTCTTTCTCCGGGCCCTCCGGTTTTTCCCCCTCCGCGATCAGAATCGACGTCACGCGCGTCTCCAAGAGTATTTCGGCCGCTCAGAAATTTCCACGCGACGACGACCGACGACGGCCGATGGACAACGGACGAGCCATCTGGGTGAGCGGTCGTTTGCGACAGCCAGGTCGCTTCGGAAAGAAAAAAAAAGAAGAGAGCTGCACATCTCAGCGTGGGCCCCTTAACCCGGCGTAGTTGGTAACAAAAAAAAATAGCGTGTCGCGGCGCACCATCATGTAGAGGTAGAGATCGTTGGCGTAGTTGGCCTCGGAGCACATGCCCAGCTGCTGCAGCGTGAGCGCCAGCTCGCGGTGGCGGTCGCGTTCCTGGGGCCGCCCGCCCGGCGACGTGCGAGCGTCGTTGAGCGTCAGCAGCTGCATGCGCGCCAGCGGGTCGCTCCCACCGCCTGCGCACGGACACACACACGGACACACACACACACAGACACACGGTGAGACAGCGGGTGGATTCCCACTGCCTCCGCACACACGGACACAGACGGACACACAGACGGACACACAGGGACACAGACGCGCACAGACACACACATGGACACACACATGGACACACACACGGACACACACATGGACAGACACACACACGGACACACGGTGAGACAGCGGGTGGCTTCCCACTGCCTCCACACACACAACAACAACCGCCATTCACCACTAAGTGGCGGTGACGTCACCACGACGCTTGTGCCAGGCTATGTGCACCCTGAGGCCACGTGAAGTGTCGAACGCCCGCTGGCAGGAGGTCACGGGGCTGACCCAGGTGCCACGGGTCGACTGAGATGACTGGCTGATGCACCACCTGTGCCCCCTACTCTGACAACCTGCTGTGCTTTAGCCACCCGGCGCTCCGCTCGTTGTTGTGAGCGTCGCTCCTCCGCCCTCCGTTGTTGTTGGAGGGCGACTGCCTCCAACTGCCTAGTAGCATCCTTCACGAGCCTCCTCCACAGAGGCCGATCTTGACACCGCTGGTACCAGTCATCAGCAAGTCCACTCAGCTCCACGTCCTCCTGCACCACATCACTCCATCTCTTCTCTAGCCCGTGCCGCGCCCGTTTAGCCCCCTCAATCCGGCCGAACAAAAGCTGCTTCGGCATGCGGTGGCTGGGCATGCGGGCTACATGACCCAGCCATCGCAGCCTTGCCCGCCGGAGGAGCTCACCGATGGGACCTTGCCCAGATCTTTCAAGGATTTGTGAGCTCCTCACACAATCCAGTCTGGTTAAACCCAGGATGGATCGTAGGCAGGCCAGCCTAAATGTTTCTAACCGGCGAAGATGTTCCATTAGGGGGGTCCATGTTTCGCAAGCGTAGAGAAGGGAGGGAATGACCGTGGCTGAGAAGACCTGAAGCTTAGTGCGGAGCGACAGACCAGGTAGCTTCCACACAGCGTTACGCAACCGATGAAAAGATATTGCCGCTCGACTGATTCGGAGACCTCTGCTGTTAAACTGGACAAAGACGGACACACAGACGGACACACAGGGACACAGACGCGCATGGACACACACATGGACAGACACACACGGACACACACACACACGGTGAGACAGCGGGTGGCTTCCCACTGCCTCCACACACACGGACACAGACAGACACACAGACGGACACACAGGGACACAGACACGCACGGACACACACATGGACAGACACACACGGACACACACACACACGGACACACGGTGAGACAGCGGGTAGCTTCCCACTGCCTCCACACACACGGACACAGACGGACACACAGACGGACACACAGACGGACACACAGACGGACACACAGACGGACACACAGGGACACAGACGTGCACGGACACACACATGGACAGACACACACATGGACAGACACACACGGACACACATACACACGGACACACGGTGAGACAGCGGGTGGCTTCCCACTGCTTCCGCACACACGGACACAGACGGGGACACAGACGGACACACTGGGACACACACGGACACACGGTGAGACAGCGGGTGGCTTCCCACAGCCTCCACACACACGGACACAGACGGACACACAGGGACACACAGGGACACACACATGGACACACAAAAAGGCAAAGACAAAAATCCCCCGTATAACCTTAACAGACTGTAGGGGCAAGTGCTGTTAGCGAGCACCTATAAAGGCCGGCATGGCACACGAAGGGGTGGGTGGCCAACACCACGCCCGGCCGCCTTTGTCTCCCTAGTGGCAATGTTTACTACACCGCACCAGGTACTCATTTGAGGCTGAGTCGACCTAGGGGAGGCCCGGGACCGGTTCAGATAATCATCACCGGTGTTGGCCGTGAACGGGAATCGAACCCAGGTTGCCGGGTTCATAGAGCAGCGCTCTAACCGCTACACTACCGCTCCCCAACGGACACACACACTTACACACACACACAGAGGGACACAGACGGACACACCTACACACACACAGGGACACAGACGGACACTCAGCGACACACACACAGGGACACACACACAGGGACACACAGACGGACACACAGACGGATACACACACAAGCACACACACACACAAGGACACAGACAGACACACAGACAGACACACAGGGACACAAGAACACAGAGACAGCTAGTCGCAACACATGCACAGACAGTGGGTTTTTACGACCACCAACACGTGCAGACAGAGAGTCGCTACGTATGCTACCACACACGGCTGTCATCTGCCAGGAAGGGGGGCAACGTTGCCACGTGGCTCTCCCCACGTCACTTAATCTTCAGTGATAAAAAGAAAACATTTTAACGTTCGTAAATTTTGGAATTACACCGCCAGCGCGCTTGGGGCCAAAGTTACTTGCTTACAGTCCGAATAACACAGCGGGATCTCCATTGCGACGTGGACGGTGCGTCGCAATCACCGCTGCAACTCGCGCGCAGCGTTAACCGGGGCAGCTTCTAGGCTCGAACCGTAAAAAAAAAACCTCCGCAACAAGCGGCAAACGCGCGAACGCTCCGTACGTACTGTACGTTGAACGTCTTCCGCACCGTACGTAGCCAACCGTGGCTAATCGGAGGCGCGGGGGAAGGACAGGAAACTAATTCGCAATAAAGCAGTTCTAAAGAAATGAGTTTGTCAATCTATATCAGGGGTGGGGAACCTTTTTTTCTGCCAAGGGCCATTTGGATATTTATAACATCATTCGCGGGCCATACAAAATTGTCAACTTAAAAATTGGCCCGTTATATTTCGTCGAACAATTAACTCACCCCTAACGTGATGGCTGGAACAGACCAAATAATTTCGCGGGCCTTATACGACCCGCGAGCCAGACGTTCCCCACCCCATAGCTCCCAGTGGCTTCCTAATATTGGAAGAGCGTTCCAGACGGCCGGCAGAAGTGGCGCACCCAAAAACGCCGCGCGATGACGCGGTGACCGCCGTCTTTGTTCGACGGCGTAGCCAAAGGCCGCCACCGCCGCCGCCGCAAGGGCGACCGGGGTTGGCGCGATGACGGTGCACGCTCCACGACCAGATCGGCGAGAGGTGTCGCGGTTCATTAGCGGCGAGCGCCGGACACCGCCCACCTTGCGACGAAGACGAGGAGGCGGCGGCGGCGGCAGAGGTGGGCGGCGGCGGCAGCAGGGGTCGGAGGTCGCGCGACACGGCCGAGTGGGCGTCGCTGGACGACACGCGGCGGCTGCACTTGCGTGCCGGCGCCGGCGGGGCCCCAGCGTCCAGGGCGCAGGCGGCGCCGCCGCCGGCACTGCCGCTGGCGGCCTGCAGCGGGGGCCCCACCATGGGGGTGCAGAGCTGCCGAGGGAGAAAAACCAAAAAGGTCCGGGGTGGGGGACAAACAGGCGGGGGGTCGTCCCGTTGGCCGTTGTCCATGCCGAGTTGAAACCAAACCGGGATACGTCGGCCTCGTAGCACTTTTTAATTTGGCTCGGTAGGGGGAAGGCCAAGCAGGGCCAGGCTGGGGGCGGGGCGATATAAGACATTTATTGGCTTACGTAGTGGAATCCAAAACATGCCTGGAGGCTCCTGACCCATGCCAGGGTGGCTGGGCACAAACCGGGCATGGCTCGGTTGTGCAGTGGCAAAAAACGTGAAAGATCCTCGGTGTAGTCGGATAGACGGTTGTTGGGGCGAGTGCCGTTAACCCTTTCCCGTTCCGAGGCTACAGGTTGCAGGGTGGGGTGTCCCGTTTCCCGCTGTATCTCGGAACGCGGGAGCGGCTCGGCGTAAATTTTATTTAGAGAGGCGTAGCGCCATTTTTTGTTAAAGACATTTTACTCACCGCAGAGAACCAATATTTACAGGACCACAGACTATGCCCATGGCCTTGTGGGAGCCTCGGTACGGATTTTATGTTTTCTTCCGGTTTAGTTTTGACGTACACGTACGTACACGTGTACGTCATCCGAACGAGGAAGGGTTACTGTGTGTGTGTGGGGGTTCGATTGTCGTGCCTGCATCTTCTTGGGACGCCGTCGCCCGTCCTGGCATCGTCGCCTCGCTGCGACGCCACCAACGTTGCTCACGCTCCTCAAGGCCACGCGCCGCTTACCCTGCGCGCACAACGCACCGCGCACGTTACACATTACACACATTGCGTGCACATCCACCATCCACTGCGGGATGAAGGTCTTTTCCAATCAATCGCAATGTCGCACGGTCCTGGGATGCAACAATCTGGGCCTAGCACCTCTGCAAACTCCAGTCGCTCTCGCAGTGGCGGCTGTTGGCTCGGTCGTCGAACAAAAGCAGTGGTCACCGCATCGCGCGGAGCTTTCAAAATGCCCTTCTGCCTGCCGTCTGGAATGCTCTACCTTCCGATATTAAGAAGCCACCGGAGTTATGCACTTTTAAATCATCTAGATTTAAAATCGTTTATTTAGAATTGCTTTTTGTTTAATTTATCCTTCCCCGCACCTCCGATCAGCACGGTTGGCTACGTACGGTGTGAAAGAAGTTCAACATAAATTTCGATTTAAAGCTTTCGTGACTGCAAGGATTCATCTTCTTTGGTTCTTTCGGTAAAGTCACGTAGAATGAGAATAAAATAATAAATTGATAAAATAAAATAACACAATAATATTCTCACGACGTTTCGGCCACAACACAAGCGGCCTTCATCAGGTGAAGGGGACGAGACTGTGTGGAGGACAGCGCTGTCCAAACAGTCTCGTCCCCTTCACCTGATGAAGGCCGCTTGTGTTGTGGCTGAAACGTCGTGAGAATATTGTGTTATTTTATCAATTTATTATTTTAGTCTCATTCTACGTGACTTTACCGAAAGAACCAAAGAAGAAGTTCAACATACATACTGCATCTGCTACCCAGCTTGCATAGTCTGGCGCTCCTTCAACGGAGGAGTAACACCATCACTACCTTGCGGATCTCGTCAAGGAGCATTGCCCATCACGCAAACTCCGGTCATCCTTGCATAACCATCGAACAAAGCATCAGACTCTTAATTTAGAGTGGAGGAATCTGATGAAGCTCTTTTTCCAGAAATGCCCAATAGGGCCGAGTCATCCGAAAGACGGTCGCCACATCGCACGCTTTCAGATGCGCTTCTGCGGCCGTCTGGAATGCTCTTTCCTTCCGATATGAGGAAGCCACTGGAGCTATGATGCACTTTTAAATCGAAACTGAAAACCCATTTCTTTAGATCTGCTATTTGCGTTTAGTTTGTTTGTCCTTCCCCCGCACCTCCGGTTAGCCCGGTTGGCTACGTACGGTGCGAAATGAGTTGAGCGTACGTACACACTACACCAGGCGTCGGCAACCAAAACAAAAAATAACAAAAAAAATTCCCAATTCGGTACAAAAAAATATATTTCAAGAGCCGCAATGCAATTACGAGACGATTTGGGAACCCCTTAATAAAGAACGTCACGAAGCAGTCCTTAATGAGCCGCAAAAGGCTCTGGAGATGCAGGTTCCTGACCCCTGGCCATGGTAAACTGGACGTCCAGGGTAAACTGGATTTCCATGGTAAACGGGACCATCCATGGTTAACTTGACTTCCACGGTGAACTGGACTTCCACGGTGAACTGGACTTCCACGGTCTGGTGGTCGGCAACCAAAATAACATGAAGAGAGCATCGTTTTTTTCTTGGCATTTCAAGATCCCGCACCGCTGTCCTTAAAAGAGCCCCAACCGCATGCGGCTCTGCAGCCGCAGGGTTCCCCCCCTCCCACCACACCCCGCGAGCTCTCTCTCTCCCTCCCTCTCTCTCGTCGTCGCTGGCAGACCCCGACCACCGCGGTGGGTTTTGGGGCTCTTGAGCTCCTTTTTCGAAGGCATTTGGCTGCCGCTGGCGACAATGCAATCCTTGCTGCCTTGTTAGGCTGTTTTGTTTGCCGTGGCCAAGACAGGGGTGGTGGAAACCCTTCGCGCGCTGGCGTGCGGTCATCACAGCACCACCACCACCGTCTTCGTCGGGGTGGGAGGTCGTCACAAATCCAACCCCGACCATGAAGTGCGTATTAGCAAAAAAAATTGACATAGGTGAAACGACACCGGAGGGGGGGGGGTTCTCTCGCATATCTGTACACAGACCGCGAGTCAATTCACGCGGACGTACACACACACACACTCAGAATTATTTATTTACACCTGAGGAATCCGATGAGCTACAAAGCTCCCTCCCCCCCCCACACACGTCCAGTAAGGTGCACAGGGGTCACAGAACCCGCGCACCACTCGTGCACACGCGGTAACGAAGATCAAAGAAAGATGCCCCCGTGTAGCCTTAACAGACTGTTGGGGCAAGTGCTGTTTGCGAGCACCTATGAAGGCCGGCACGACACACGAGGGGGTGGGTGGCCAACACCACGCCCGGCCGCCTTTGTCTCTCCAGTGGCGATGTTTACACACCGCACCCAGGTGCTCATTTGAGGTTGAGTTGACCAAGGGGAGGCCCACAACCGGTTGAGATAATCGCCACCGGTGTTGGCCGTGAGCGGGAATCGAACCCGGGTCGCCAAGTTCTTAGCGCGGCGCGCTAACCGCTACACCACCGCTCCCCCACGCGGTAACGCGCAACTTGCCACGCGCACACAAAAACAAAAATGCGCCCCCCCCCCCATCGCCACCACAAATCCGTGTTGAGCGACTACCTTTGAAAACGGCAACACGCGTGGAGGGGTAGGGGGCTGCCCTTCCGTCTGCCCAGTGGTATCCGTTAACTCATCTCAGGCGGTGAAGATGAGGGGTGGGGGGGGGTAGGACCGCCGACACAACGGCGTCGGCCCCACAAGCGGGAATCGAACTCGGGTTTGTCGCCGACGCTGCCACGTGCTAAGCACTGCGCCACCGCTCGCGTAGCCACCCAAGACCTTAAACAAACTGTTTAACGCGTAGGAAGGAGGCTTTCGTGACCAATATCATCCATAATATAGGTTTGTTTGGGGGTTAGATGGCGTAAATGCGTCGTTAAACCCGCCACCACCCGACACAGCCAATCAGTAAAGTTTGACACTAAAAACAGAACATACGAGGTTTTTTTGGGGTTAGATCGCGTAAATATAAATGTGTCGTTAAACCCGCCACCACCCGACACAGCTAATTCGAAAGGGTTTGTCACGTAAATGTGGCAATTCATTACCAGTACAGCAACACCGCTGTGTTGGGGCAAGTGCTGTTCGCGAGTAACATCTCTGAAGTCCACGCCCGGCCGCCTTTGTCTCCCTAAGCGGCGATTTTTACACACCGCACCAGAAATCTCGTTGAAGTCCAATCGACTTAGGGGAGTCCCCCGGACCGGTTCAGATAATCGTCACTGGTGCTGGCCCGCGATCGGGAATCGGAAATTGGAGAATGCAGCGCGCTAACCGCTACACCACCGCTACCACCCAACCACAACAACCACCGCCATTCGCCACTAAAAGGCGGCGACGTCACCACGACGCTTGTGCCAGGCTATGTACACACATTTCAAGTTTCATTTATTAGGTATAGCCCTGTGAGCCATGCGGCTCTTACCACGCACATGGGGAAAACACGCGGCCAACACCACACCTTGCCGTCCTTGTAATAAGTCTGCTCGCTTGACCACTCCGCGTTGAAATTCACGGCGTCCATGACCCCGCGTGCGCGTGAACGCGTTTCACAGGCCCAATGTGAAATCCAGACGATGGCCGTGACTCTTTCTCTCAATCGGAACAAACCATCACCCCTCCACCTCCCACACCCCCCCCTCAGTGTGTTGTTATTTATTTATTTGTGCAACTCAGGTCGGCGGGCGAGATGAGCGTCCGGGTTCGAGTCTTCGTTTCTGCTAACCTAGCACGGGACGCCACGTGCTCGCGTGAGCCGCCACGTGCTTGGGGGGGAGGGGTGTGGGCGCCGCCATCTTGGCGCCCATCACCCCACGCTTTATAGAGGGCGAGGTACGGAAGCTGGGCCGGTTGGATGAAGCGCGATTCGTTAATCGGGCGATCAGCACCACGCTGACAGAGTTCGGGGCCATCCATTGAGTTGGTACACACAAATCTGTGAAAACTTGACCCCCCCCTCCTCCCTGTACGCACGCGAACTTTTTACCCCCCCCCCCCACCTGCGTACGTACGCCTGACGCACCCCCCCCCCACGAATCCTATAGAACGGCCGATATTTAATCCACGCAGAAACGATCAAGGATTAATAATATTAACGTGTTTAAGCAAACGGATAGTCCACCGCCGGACTATCTTAACTCATTTGAAGGCCAATGTAGACAAAACATTTTTTATCGAGGCTTCACCACCCCCCTCCCCCCCCTGTTTCCTATACGTACATTGTCAGTAGACCCCTCCATGCGTACGTACTAAATGGATGGCCCCTTATCAAGATTTGATTTGAAGCTTTCGTGACTGCAGGGATTACTCTTTGTTTTTTTCGGTAAAGTCACGTATAAATAAGAAACAATAAAATAAAATAATAGCGTACGACGTTTCGGTTGCAACACAAGCAGCCATCATCAGGTACAGAAGAGCTAAATTATGAGAGAGGGGAGACACATAACCCCAGATGTATATACAGACACCCAAGTAGGGGGAACTGACACAGATACAACAGGGGACACAGAGAGAGAAGCATACCAGACAAACAGGGTTTATCTTCTTTGGTTATTTCGGTAAAGTCACGTAGAATGAGAATAAAATAATAAATTGATAAAATAAAATAACACAATAATATTCTCACGACGTTTCGGCCACAACACAAGCGGCCTTCATCAGGTGAAGGGGACGAGACTGTGTGGAGGACAGAGCTGTCCAAACAGTCTCGTCCCCTTCACCTGATGAAGGCCGCTTGTGTTGTGGCCGAAACGTCGTGAGAATATTATTGTGTTATTTTATTTTATCAATTTATTATTTTATTCTCATTCTACGTGACTTTACCGAAAGAACCAAAGAAGATGAATCATTGCAGTCACGAAAGCTTTAAATCGAAATAGGGTTTAGCAAAACATTTTGGAAACCATGTAAAGCAATACAGACGGTCGGTCAAAACACAATTAACGCATAGTCCGGTTGATCACGCTATTATCAAGATCTTGATTGAGACTGCGGGGGGGTGGGTGAGGAATCTGGTGAGCTAGGAAGCTCTTTGTCCGCAGTTGGGGCGGGGGGGGAGCGGTCAGCAAGTTACAGCAGCGAACGACGAAACAGCAAAAGCGATGCGAGTGTCAAAGAGAGGAGTCGTTGTAAGCAAGGCACTAAAATGTAAATAAATGGATTATATAAAGTCGGGAGTTTTATCAAGATTTGGCGAGACGGCAAAAAATATCAACAAAACGGTGCCAGGACACGCCAAGATAACGCCCCGCAGTGGCAGTGCTACCTCGATAAAGTAACACGTTAGCACAGGACTGTCGCTATTGAGCTGTGTTTTGACATTAATGTCTTACAGAAGCAGACGGGGAAAGAGTGGTTTGGCGTGTCAGTGGCTCCTATTCCATTTGGCGTGCGTTCAGTAACGCAATCTTAGTTATTGGAGGAATAAAACAAAATCGATCAGTTGAGCGAAAAACGCGTGGTGCGATTTCGCTGATATGAGAGACAGTGACGAAGAACGAGAGTGGGTTGGAGACGACAATGCTGGCTCGGGGGAGGGGGGGAGGACAATCGCGTTGACTTGCGAATAACAAAGTGTAGATATGAAGCTTTCGTGTCTGCAAGGATCAATACTCTTTGGTTCTATTCGGTAAAGTCACGGAGGTAAAACAAAAATCACGAACGGCTACTCGAGTAGCCGTTCGTGATTTTTGTAGTCGTTCGTGATTTTTGTTGTTTGATTTTTTACCTACGTGACTTTACCGAATAGAACCAAAGAGTAATGACAAAGTGGACATTGCACGCTTGGGGGCCGTCCATAAATGACGTCACGCACCTGGGGGGGAGGGGGGGGTCAGACATTTGTGACGATGTGTGACGAGAGGGGGGGGTATTTGAGAAATGTGACGTCACATAAAAATGCGCAACTTTAATTAAATATAAACAACACGTTCTACTTAATTAAATAGGCTGTTTGATAAATGTTTTCTCCCACAACATCAGAGTGCAGCGGCACATTAAATACGCACTACAATGACAATAGTTTAAAGCGATTTGAAGCATGTGTGTTTTTTAGGGGGGGGGGCAGAGCTTTGTGACGTCATATTTGAGGGGGGTCTGATTTTTTGTGACGCCGTGTGACGAAGGGGGGGGGGGGGTCAAAAATCGTCCAAAATCGCGTGACGTCATTTATGGACGGCCCCTTGGGACGCGGCACTTTCTAAGGGACGGTGGCCTGTGGTTGAGACTAACAACGGAGCAACAGCCAAGGTGGGGATGGGGGGGGGTAAACGCTGGGAGATGGAGTTTGTTTAAAGTCAGTTTGTGCGCAGGTGACGGTAAGGTGGAGTTCGCACAGTCATCGACTTACGAACGCAATTTGTTCCTTTGAGACCCGTTCGTAAGTCGGACTGTTCGCAAGTCGGAACCGAGAAATCGACAGTATATTTAAATGCACAATACCAATATCCGACCATTCGCCACTAGGTGACGTCACCACGGCGCCCGTGCCAGGCTAGGTGCACTTTGAGGCCACGTGAAGTGTCGAAGGCTCGCTGCTGACAGGAGGATGTCTCGGGACAGACCCAGCAGGTGCCATGGGTTGACCGGTAGATGCACATCAGCTGTACCCCTCTACTGTGCCAGGCTAGGTGCAGGAGGTCACGGGACAGACCCAGCAGGTGCCATGGGTCGAATGACTGAGATGACCGGTAGATGCACACCAGCTGTACCCCCTGCTGTGCCAGGCTAGGTGCAGGAGGTTTCGGGGCAGACCCAGCAGTTGCCATGGGCTGGCTGAGATGACCGGTAGATCCACACCAGCTGTCCGCCCTATTCTACCAATATTGCTGTATTTTATCCGCCTGCCACTCCACTCATTGTTGTGAGTGTCGAACCTCTCTGCCCTCTGTTGTTGCTGGAGGACGAGTGCCTCTAACAGCAGCAGCAGCGTCCTTCACGAGCCTCCTCCTTCACAGAGGTCGATCTTGACACCGCTGGTACCAGTCATCGGCAAGTCCACTCAGCTCCACGTCCTCCCGTACCGCATTTAAATGCCCACACGCACGAACGAACACTCACTCCCAGCACCAGGCTTGACTCGTTTACATCTCGCGGTGGATCGCTCATTTGAATGAAAATAGTGCATATTTAAAAAAAAAATGTACATTGACGGCTGGGTTAAGAGGTTTATTTTGTGAGCATTGCTTGTGCACCACTGACATCTAAAACTTTAAACATTTTTAAACATGTTTTACCAGGTCTAGGCCCCACTGAGCTACTATGCAGATCTTTTACAGAAGCGACCCTGACTATCACAAATGATAGCTCAACGAAGTGGCTTGTCGTCATCATCGGCACGTGTGTAAATGTTTAGCAGGAGACAAATACTCCACGCGGGCACGGGGAGAGAGAGACACTGCAAACTCCAAATATACAGCAGCAGTAGGCCATCAGGGTTGGGATAGAAGCCACGACCTCATGTATACCAGGCGAGGTAGTTAACATCTCATAGCCACTGTGGTGATGATGAGAGAGACACGCAAACTCCAAATATACAGCAGGATTCAGGGTAGGGATCGAACCCACGATCTCCTTCATACCAGGCGAGGTAGTTAACATCTCATAGCCACCGTAATGATGAGAGAGACACGCAAACTCTAAATACACAATCTTTATTTTTAATATCTTGAATATACAGCAGGAGTCAGGGTCTGGATCGAACCCACGACCTCCTGCATACCAGGCGAGGTAGTTAACATCTCGCTCTAAATAATAATTATTAACCACATTTGCATCCAACGTAAGCCAGCAGGCACATCAACAAACGCAGCCGGCTTCCTCATTAACATAGAACAACACGGCATGGCAAACTCCATCATTGCACATCATTAACATATTCTAATTAGCCTGCGTGACGCGCGTGCATGAATATTAACAATACGTCGCGGCGGCCGTTGGGGAGACGGGGGGGGGGTATAAATCTCGCGAGAGGAGGCGCGGAGTCTCGCGAGATTTCGGCTCCGCGAGGGCGCGGAGGCGGCCCTCCTCTTACATCTCAGCCTCCTCCACCTCGTCCTTCTCCTCGTCGGCGTGTGCTCGCGGCCTCGGCTCCTGCGTCGCTCGGTGCGGGAAGACGAGGAGCAGCGCGGGCGAGAGAGAGAGAGGGAGAGCGGAGAGAGACACAAAGGCGGACGTGGAGGCCTCGCCTCTACACATCTCCCACTGCCCGCGGTACAAAAAAGCCTGAGGCCTGCTTGTGCCGGGCCCTCTGGCTTAGAGGGAGTTTATTTTTTTTTAAATATCCCCGTCGCGAGGGAAGTTGACTCTCGCCTCGTCTCCCTGCGTGCCTTCTTTTAAATTGCTCGCTAATCTGTTCGGCGGGCTCACGCCACGGGCGTTGGTGTTGAGGTGAGTGGCGAGGTGAGCGAGTGAGGTGAGGGTGGTGTGGTGGTGGTGAGTGTGGGGTGAGAGAGCGCTGTTGTGGGTGGGGTCCTGCCTCTGCTAAACCCTAAACGCTTGTGGTGGTGGTGTTGCTCTGGTTATTGATTGTTCTGTTTACCCTCTAGAACGGCACTTTGTGTTGTCAAAATCCACCCGCTCGCTGCTGCACTAGGGCCTTCTCCCGGCCCACCCCACCCGCCTTGCCTGTGTGGGGGGGGGTTTCGACCATACTTCACCACGCTGGTCAGTGCGCGTAGAGTATAGCAGTGTATAGTTTAGTATATAAAGTGTATACTAATGTGTACTGTATATAAGTGGTGTTTGTGTTTAGTAGTTAAGGGAGGAACCCCATGTCACCGGTTCTCGGGTATCACTGATGTGAGCCGGGGGTGCCATAGACGCCGGGAGCATATATGTAAGTGCAGTACAATAATGGAATTGTTTTTTTACCCTCTGTTGATAACGTTAGTACCCCCAGCAGCCTGTAGATAACAACCTGTGTGTGTACGTTTGGTGGTAGTCACCCCTCCCAGAAATTTGCAGGCGCAGTCCTCTGCTTGGCTTCCAAGATGTTAACTACCTCGCCCTAGTATACAAGAGGTCGTGGGTCCGACCCTGACGCCTGCTGTATATATTTGGAGTTTGCGTGTGTCTCTCGCCGTGGTCGCGTGGATATTTCTCCGGTTTTTCCCTAGCACGTTGAGACTCGTCAACGTTCGTTCAGAGTATTTGGCTACTGCTCTAAGTTTCCACATGATAAGCCACTCCGTTGAGCTATCATCTGTGGCCAGGTCACTTCTGAAAAAAAAGAGTTGTATAGTTTGGCGGACCTGGTAAAATTGAAAAATAGGTTGTTGATATCTGACGAGATTGAGCACGATCCGGGGTGGTTTGGTCATCTGTATTGTTATTATTGTTGTGGTTATTCTGCTTGCTTTAAACACTGTTGTACCCTAATTCTTGTTTTGCTGCGCGCGTGCGTGCGTTGTAACGGTTGCACGTATGCAGGGTGTGTTTGCGTGTCGTTGCCATCATAGCGGTTTGTTAAACAGAATCTCCATTTACAATCAGAATCGTTGTTTGTGAGCGTGCGTGGTGTGACGACGGTTACTGCGCCGTGCAAGAGGGCGTTTTGCGTAATTGTGCTTCAACGATCTATCAACTGCTGGATGAAGACCACGCCGTCGCTGCCTCTCTCTCGCGCGAGCCCGATGCTGGCCTCGATGCTGGCATCTCACAACCTCAGGCACACGAGCCAATTCTCGTCCCTACCAAATAACTGCACGGTGATATCGGCATCTACTGCCCACCAACCACCTTTTTGGCGATGTATCCTGCCCAATTTACGTTTCGGTGTTGTGTTTTTTTAAATTTTTATTTGGCCGTCTCGGCATTGAACTTTCTCTTGAAATTCCAAGCATTCCTCTCCACGCTTGCTTGTCGCACTTTTTACATCTTCTCATTTGTTGTCCATATTTTAAGATCCCTATGTCCTGATAGGCAATACACACACACAATTGCGAACGTTTCGGTAAAGTCACTTAGAAGGGAAATAATAAAAATAAAACATAATAAAATAAAATTCTCACGACGTTTCGGCCACAACGCAAGCAGCCGTCCTCAAGCGAAGAAACGGAACTGTCAGAAAGACGCTGTCTTGCGTTGTGGCCGAAACGTCGTGAGAATTGTATTTTTTTTACTTTATTATTTCCCTTCTACGTGACTTTACCGAAAGAACCAAGAATATGAATCCCTGCAGTCACGAAAGCTTTACATGGAAAAATTGCGAACGTTATTCGTCAGGCACCTTTGTCCATTATTGAAAGCGTACGCGACCAATATACTCAATCCTGCTCTTACTCTCCTTATTTCCTCATTATTTACTCATTTTTGATCACGTAATATTCTAGTAGGTTTTGCAGTTGTCCCTACAATAATTATATTTCTGTTCAATCTACTTGTACTTGCCTTTTGTTTTGCTCGGATTTATTTGAAGTCTCACTTTGAAGCCTTCTAAAGTTCTTCCAATTGTTTTTTTCTAAAGATCATTCACTCGCTTTTTTAATGCCCGTCTTTGGTGAATTTTCAGTGGTTAATACTGTCACCATATGTCATTTAAACCTTTCTTTTTATCCAATCCGATTTCCAAAAAAAAGTCTTACGTTTTTGCTGTGAAAAGCCTCGTCCGACTTATCTTCTCACATCGTTTTCGTGTCACTGTCCATTTTCACTGTAGTTGATCCTCGTTTGTTAGTTTATTTTCTTTTATAGGTTTGTTTGCCAGAGTTTGGATGACTGCATGTTTCCACTGCCTTTCATAGCCTGCTAATGCCAAGTATAATGGTAATTATTTATTTTCTGTTTAACATGTTGTAGGAGGCTTTCGCTACCAATAGTATCCATAATAGAGGGTTTTTTTGGGTTAGATCGCATAAATATAAATGGTTGTCGGGTGGCGACGGGTTTAACGACACTTTTATATTTACGCCATCTTGCCAACAACAAATAACTTTCATGAATATATATTCGGTTGTATTTTATATAATCTTGCCGATTTTAGTTAATAGTCGAAACCTCCTTTGCTAAAATCAGCTCGTTATTCAGTTTCCTATGATCATCAGAACAGTTTATCTTGTGACAGTCTTACCGCCATCCTTCTGCCCCCCCCCCGCCCAAGTGTGCACGATTTGGAATTGTGCAATGTTGTGCCTTATCAGTCAAGGCCATTAGCGACACTTCGTACAGCAGCGGGTACAGATCGTTGGTGTGTGACCACGACACTCGTCAAGTCTGTTCTTGAAACGGCATAGCCGCGGCATGCGTGGTGTGTCCCGGCATGTAACGAGGCTTTTTGGCAACCTCCTGAATATTGAAAGTTCCTCGCCCGCAAAGCTTCAGAACGCTGCAGAGCGATGCTGGCTCGTAGCTACTGCGGCTCCACACTGCGCAGAAACTGCACGTGCCAAGGCGGCAGCCCCAGCATAGTACTGCGACGGCTGCAGGTAAAGCAAGTTTTAGGTTATGGTTTTTAGAGCATTTCTTCATACCTTTTTTGAATGATGTTACACCATTTGTTTTGATGGTTGTAATGTTAATTGTTGAACACTCGTAACATTCCAAGCTGTGACTGGCCTTAATTTGATCGTAACGGAGTTCCGTTTAGGAATATGGATATACCGGGGCACCCTTCAATTAGCCTGGTATTCTGAGGACCCTTAATATATACCGGAGTTTATGTTATACAGCGTACATGATTATGTTGTTTTGCACTAGCCAGATCACTCGTTGGCTCTGACGCACTCTGCACCAGAGCTGAGCCTTGTCAGCAGTCCCACCTCTCGTGTCTCTCAGGCTTCCTGTCCTCGGGCTCACAGTGTTTCCATCGGAGACGCTGAGCTCGCACCGCTGGGATATCCTCGGTTGGAATCTGTTTTTGTTTATCCGCCGGTGATTTTTAAACCAGGTTCTCGAGCGTAGGAGATGGTCTCGGTCCCGTCACCGGTACAGTAATCGCACTATAAAACAATTGCAATGCTGGTAGCTTGCGTTTTCCTTAGCAACCCACTCCTTACAAAGTGTGACCGCTGTCCAGTTTCACTTCTTCTTGGCTGGCTGCTCACGTTTTATTTCCACACACATGTATTCTGTGCCGCCTCCTCGCATCCACTGTCCCTCGCATCTCACCCTCTGCTCCCTGCCCTGCACTGGTGGCATCTCCACAGTCCTAATCTACGGGTCTGTGTGTGAGTTTATCAGTGATTTTGGTCTATAGATCTCTTGTCTGTGGGTCTCTGATCTCCGTATCCTCTATTTGCATCTACTTCTTTGTCCGTTCTAAAACAAAAGCCCAACCCACTGAAGTTTTCCTTCCGTTATCTTCGGCATATTAGTTGACACCTGCTGAGTCCTCTCGCTTCTTAATTCGGTGTCAGGTGTGAGACCTACGAGAGAAGGCAGTGGGAGATCAAGCCTTGCCCGTGTCATTGATGTGACCTGTGTTTGGGTGTGCGGGTGTTTTTTTTTTTTATGCGGTCGGCTGTTGCTCCTTTTAGACCGTTGCCAGGCTGTTGTGGGCACACATCCCGAGCAACGGCGGGCAATGAATGGGTGGTGGTTTTCCTCCGCTGCCACTAAAAGATGAACATCCGCGGAGGGACACGGGCAAGGCCGAGTCTCCTATTGCCTTCTCTCTTTCACAGGTTGTCCAAGGTCACCCGAGGAAAGTAATTTTATTAGGCGACTTGAATGTCGGTGAGTGCACAACAATAGTTGATCGTCGGGAGCGATTGGGAGCTACAAGCCATCATTTATATCGGTATTAACAGCAGGTTGGGAGGTTTATGCGCAGCTCATGGGCTCTCAATTAACGGTGTGGTGTTTCATCGCTGATGGTGCATGGTCACAACATCCTGGATGTACAGCAGATCCGACTACTTTCATCACCCCCCCCCCCCCCCGGCTTCTTTTCCGTAAGATTAGGCTGCCATTCTCATACTGGCGGTGAACAGCCACCTGGGATCCCATTTAAAACCTGCAATCGCCTCGTTCAAGCTCGGCAGCTCGGCTTTCGATATGCTGCCCTTGGTATCTCCCACGTCCTGGGGAACGTGAGGGAGAAATGGGTGAGCTTGAAGGGGGGAGTGGCAGTGCCAGGCAACTGTTGGACACCTCCCCTGGCTGACGAAGCTGCCCCCCACCCCCCATGCGCATCGTTTTGATGGTCCAACAATGAGGACTTGTCACAGCCATCGGTCGGATTAAAAAAAACTTTTTTATTGCACCAGGTAAGGTCCACTGAGCTATTTTTTTCAGAAGCGACCTGGCCACAAACGATAGTTCAATGAAGTGGCTTATATGGAACATTTATAGCAGGTAAATACTTTAAAAGCATTAAGTTGATTCTAGATTTGGAGGGGAAAAACCGGAGGACCCGGAGAAAAATCCACGTGACCACAGAGAGAAACACGCAAACTCCAAACATGAACGCGTTTGCCACGGTGGTAAGATGTTAGCTCCCTCGCCTATTATGCAAAAGGTCATGGGTTCAGTCCAGACCCTGATGCTCGTATATTTTGCAGTTTGCCTTGTCTCTCTCTCTCCCTGTAGTCACATGGATGTTTCTCCGGGGTCCGGTTTTTCTATCCACATTTAAAAACGTGCCTCTGGATTATTTTGCTATGATCAATTTCCACGTTATGATAAGCCACTTTGTTGAGCTATAATTTGTGATGGCCAGGTTGCTTCTCAAAACTGCTCGGTGGAACATACCTGGTAAAATAAAAATAGTTGAGCTTTGATTTAGGTTTGGGTATTATCTGCCACGGTAGCCAGCAATTGAACGGGTTGCCTTGCCTGTTACAATCTGGTGCACTTCGAGCCTCCGTGTGTTTCGGAGGGAATGCAAGACTCGCTTACTTCCTCATTGCTTTCCCTTAAGTGCATTTCATTGTACCGTATGTTTTCCTGATGTTTATCTTAGAATTTAGTTTTGTACTATTTTGTGATTTCCCCCTTGAGTGAGGTTGATATTCGAGTTAAAATAAAACCTTCAAACCGCTGTGCCCTCTTTGCACACCTAATGTACATGTTTGTGTGCATATACTGTATGTTTATATATATGTAAAGCTACCAAAGGTCCTGGTTTGGCCAGTATAGTTTCTGAAAGTCTGTCCCGTTTTATTCCTGAAGCAATCGTGAAAATCATGATTTTTTTTTTCCACATTTAACATTTTCTGGCTTTTTGCTTGAGCGCGTGATACAGGGCAGTGAGGGTTGGGGCCTTTAACAGCTAGGCAACACCGTCGTGAAGAGCAGTGAGGCCAATAACTGTGGGTGGTGGGGCTGGGAGTTGAGTGGGTGTGCAGTTTTTAAAGTGGGCAGTGCTGATGGGAGGGGCTTCTAGATAACCATGTGTCATGGGTGAGCCGCTTAAAAATGTATGGTCTCTCTATGCATGTATGTGCTGATGCAATGGTTGGTTGTGTGCGAGAGGGCAGAGGAGCGACGCTTGCGACCGACGAGCGGCGCACCAGGGCGGCTAAAACACGGCGAGGGGGCACACGAAGGCGGGGCACAGGTGGTGCATCGACCAGCTATCTCATTCGGTCAATCTACGGGCACCTGGGTCTATCCCCGTGACGACCCTTGCCAGCGGGCGTTCGACAATTCACGTGGCCTTGGAAGTGCACCGACGCCGCGGTGACATCCCCGCCACTTGGTGGCGAATGGCGGTTGATGCTTTTTTTGTCGTTTTATAGCCGCATTGGCGTTTTGTTGCCTCGTGCGCCGCCACCAACCTGTAGATTTGCGCGTGATCGGCGGCACGGCGCGTTGACGGGGGGGCGGTCGCCGCGCGGCCCGGCGCCTACCAACCATGACGGAGGTCGGCATCGTGAAGGAGGGATGGCTGCAGAAGAGAGGTGAGTTGGCGCCGTGGGATCCACAACCCCCACGTCACCCCGAAGAAAAGTTACAAATCGTAATGTCGGTCATGGAAGGCGTGCGTGTTTTTAAAATGTATTGGAAGCTGATATTGTGGCGGGCGAGGTGTCGACTGCCTCGCCCCGGTGTACGGAAGGTCTTCGGTTTGATCCCGACCCTGTGGTCACGTGGAATTTTCTCCGGGTCCTCCGGTTTTTCTCTCCACGTTTTGACAATTAACGTACGTTTCCAGTGTTTGGCTTCTTTAAATTTGTACACGAGGTATCATTTGTGGCCAGGTCGCGTCTGAAAAAGAGCTACATAGCTTTAGTGGGCCTCACCTGGTAAAATATACATTTTTATTGTTGAGTATCATTTTTATTGCAAAAGGGGATGTTGTATCAAATTGTGAAATTATATTGTATGCGGGGAGGATGAACCTGGAGCTTGACTCGCGTGTGTGTACGTGTTCATGCGTGCGCATGTTCCCCACGCTGTCCGCCGTGCAGGAGAGTACATCAAGACATGGCGCGCACGTTACTTCCTTCTCAAGGCAGACGGCTCCTTCATCGGCTACAAGGAGAAGCCTCAGGTGGCGGAGCAGCAAGACCCCTTGAACAACTTCTCCGTGGCTAGTGAGTTGCCGGCGCTGTGCCAGATGCCAAACCGCTTCCGCCGGTGCCCTTAACCGCAGGCAGAGTCCCCCCCAATATTTTTGGGGTTGGACGATTTGCTCCAGCTGTCGCTAGTGCGGTGCGACATTCATTCACCGCGATGTGTGGTTAAAAAAACAACAATTTTTCTTGAATCGTATCGTGACAATTTGTGGAATCGCAACGGAGGGGGGGTGGTGGTTGTTACCTGCTTCTAAACGTATCTATTAATGTTTCCCTATCGGTGTCCTCCTGCACAGCCCAGACATTCGTTCAATTTATAAGAGCCCAGGACCGGTTCCGATAACACCAACGGACGTTAGCCGTGTTCGGGAATCGAACACGGCTAACGTCAGGTTCCTTGCGCAATGCACTGACCACTGCGAGACTCCTGCTCCCAAGATGTCACAGATGAGTAAATACACATTCTTCACGGCGCAAACGAAGCCTTGCAATATCGATGGAACGGGCACGGCCAGCGCAGACAAAGTGTGCATGTGAGGCGCAGAGTACAAATGCGATTCTAGACAAAACGAAGCGGAAGATGAAAATCCTTGCTCTGATGGACACCTCGAAGTCGTGACAATTCATGAAATTGGTTGATTTTTTTCACTGCTAAGCAAACTTTGGATGGCAGCGACCTGGGTTTACATACCTGCCCATGTGCATTGGTAGTGTCTGGCAACTGCCTCATCTGGGTTTCCCTTTCAAATCCCTTTTGCAGCATCGTGCATGAATACGCACTTCGGCGTTGTGCAGTGACAACGAGAGCAATCGTCGTCAGAGGTCGCCTTCGTCGTGCCGATACGATGCCCGCACCGGATTTTGTGTTTGCTACCGCGTTCGTGTCGGGTCGCAGGTCCGAGGTAGAAGCGCGTGATGGACGGATATCGTCTACGGGTCGTTTCGAAGTATCGGTTATCCCGTGTGGGCGTGGTTCCCGTACTGAACGAAGTTGCGGGGGTCGCTTCTTCCGGCCAGCGAGGGGATTCGGTTCCCTCACAGCCGTCGTAGGATATCTGCGTGTAAAAACGATCAGCCGGTGTGCGTGCGTGCGTGCCGGAACGGATGTTGTGGCACGTGGTGCCGGCGGAAAGAGGCGCCCTCTGACCGGTACGCGGCTGCGTGGCTGCGTGCGTGTGCTCGCAGAGTGCCAGCTGATGAAGACGGAGCGGCCGCGGCCTAACACCTTCATCATCCGCTGCCTGCAGTGGACGACCGTCATCGAGCGCACGTTCCACGTCGACACGCCCGATGAGCGGTAAGCGCCCCGCTCGCTCATCGTCTCCAAATGTGCACCGACTCGCACACGCGCTCGCGTGCTCCCTCGCGTTGCAACTCGCACAAACGATGACACGTGCTCGTTCGCTCGAACGCGCGCTCGCGTTTACCCGCTTGCGCATTCGGATGTTTGTGGGGTTTTTTTGGCGGTCCGTGTTTCTGACTGGGTGGGCGGTCGCCCTGTTTTCCGCATGCGTGCTTCACCCCGTGCCGCCCACCGCCTCTGTGGCAGGGAGGAGTGGATGCGGGCGATACAGACGGTGGCTGACCGGCTGGCGCAGCAGGAGGAGGAGAGGATGGACGTGACGGCAAGCCAACCCAGCGAAGGCCCGTGCACCGAGGGCATGGAGACGTGCAGCACACGGCCCAAGCCACGCGTGGTGCGCGCGCACGCACGTACGCACAGAGACGATGATCCCCTATTATTTGGCCTTTACGGGAGATCATTAGGAAGCTACTGACTGGAGCTATGCACTCGATTTGAAAACTCCTTTCTTTAGAACTACTTTTTGTGTTTAGTTGTCCTTCCCCCGCATCTCCGATTTTTAGTGTGGTTGGCCTCGTACGGCGCGAAAGAAGTTCAACGTGCATGCAAACTATTGGGGAACAGCACGGCCGCCTAATGAATGTCGACACTGCACATGCTCACGTACCGACGCAAGCGCACGCACGCGAGTGCATATATATGTATCTGAAGGCACGCGCACGCAAGTATGCGCACGTAAGAATGCACACCTAGGCACACGTAAATACATAAACGCACATGCATGTGCGCATACACACACACACGTTTCTGCACATGGTCCCGTCTGTAGCGTGCTCGCTCGGTCGCTCAATCGGTAGCACACCGAAATGTACACCAGCTCGGAAGCACGCTGGCACGCTGACCTGCGTGGTCTTGTGTTGGTATTCGGCAGACGATGAACGACTTCGACTACCTGAAGCTGCTGGGTAAGGGCACGTTCGGCAAGGTGATACTGGTGCGGGAGAAGGCGACGGGGAAGTACTACGCCATGAAGATCCTCAAGAAGGAAGTCATAGTGGCCAAGGTGCGCGTGGTCTGCTCGTGTGCGTGGCTAAAAGACAGCAAGTTGGCACAGGTGGTGCATCGGCCAGTCATCTCAGTCGACCCGTGCCACCTGGGTCTGCCACGTGACCTCCTGCCGGAGGGCGTTCCGACACTTCACGTGGCCTTAACGTGCACATAGCCTGGCACAAGTGCCGTGGTGACGTCACAACCGCTTGGTGGCGATTGGCGGATGTTGTGGCTATGAGAGTGTGCGGTGGCGCAGTGGTTAGTGCGCTGCGCTACAATCCCGGTAACCAGGGTTCGATTCCCGCTCGTGGCCAACACCAATGACTACTGTCTGAACTGGTCCTGGGTCTCCCCTAGATTGACTCGGCCTAAAATGAGTAGGCACGGTGCTGCCCCCCCCCCCCGCCCGCGTGTGTTGTGCCGCCCTTCATAGGTGCCCGCGGACAATGCTTGCCCCAACAGTCTGTTAAAGGCTGTACGTGGAATCTTGTCTTGTTGTGTGAATTGGGTAGTTTGTTTGCCTTTTGTAGGTCATGCAGTTGTAGACTCGATGTTTTCCGTGTCGTGCGGTTGTTGACGTCCCCGCCGGTTGTGCGGTTGACGGGTGTCGCCTGTGTGCGGGTGCTCGTTAGGACGAGGTGGCGCACACTCTCACGGAGAACCGCGTGCTTCAAAGCTGCCGACACCCATTTCTCACGGTATGGAAACTTTCAACCATTTAAACGGTAAACAAAACTTGTTTTACCAGATCAGGCCCACTGAGCTGTATAGCACTCTTTCAGAAGCGACCTGGCCACAAATGTTAGCTCAACGAAGTGGCTTATCACGTGGTCATTTATAGCAGCCACATGCACTGAACACACGTCGATTCAAATGTGGAGGGAAAAACTGGAGGACTCGGAGAAAAATCCATGTTCACCAGGGCGGGGAGGGGAGAGAGGCGCAAACTCCAAATATACAGCAGGTGTCAGGATAAGAACCCACAACTTCCTGCATACCAGGCGAGCTAGTTAACATCTTGGCACCATGGAGCTCGCAGCTTTCGTGTCCGAGGACTCGTCCAACATTAAAATATATGTGTTTTTTATTCTGTAAAGCTGCCTGTGCAATCGCGCAGTAATCTAAACTTGTGTTCATGGCGAGTCATTCATTGTGTGCCCCCTTTTACAACAAGGACAGACAGCTGATGGGTGAACTCTTTCAACCGACAGTTGGAAAGTGTTAAAAAAAAAAACAAAGTGACCGGCTCTTCTCCAGTAGCTACACACGTTGGCCGTTTCCTGTTTTCTCCCGCACAACTGTTGTGACACTTCAGCGATAAGAATCAAAGGCTCGAGAGTGACTTCCATTGCACACTGTCAGCGATATCACTGCAGCACGACTGCAGTGCTTTTCTCAATAACACGCTGTAGTGACGTCCACTGGAGTGTGCAGCGTGGCTGTTGTGGAACAGCGTGGCTGGCTTGATCCCTGCGGTGGGGTGGGGGTGCAACACCTTCATGTCCAATGTTTCCCCCCCCCCCCCGGGCCTCAGTGTATCCGTGCCCTCATTGTTTGTTGGTTTCCCCCCCCACCCCACCCCACCATGCAGTCGCTCAAGTATTCCTTCCAGACGCACGACCGCCTGTGCTTTGTCATGGAGTACGTCAACGGCGGGGAGGTGAGGGCTCCTGTGTGCGTGCATTTGATGTACGAGTGTCGTTGGGGAGCGGCAGCACGGCTGCCACACTGTGCTACGATCCCGGGGACTCGCCTTCATTTCGTGCTCGTGGCCTAGATCAGCGATGAAAATCTTAAACGGTTCTCTGTGTCCTCTTCTAGATTGATTCGGCCTTAAATGATCTTATGGTGCCGTATTAAATCATCAGCACTGGGCAGACAAATGTGGCTGAGCATGGTGCTGTCCTTCACAGGAGTTCGGTAACAGCAATTCCCCCAACAGTATTGCACGAGTGATGTGTGCGAGCGCTAATCCTGCAGTGTGTGCTACGTGCCTTTGTGCTCTGCGCCGCCCATCCCCACAGCTGTTCTTCCACCTGTCACGCGAGCGCGTCTTCTCGGAAGAGCGCACGCGGTTCTACGGCGCCGAGATTGTATCGGCGCTTGATTACCTCCACACCGAGAAGAACGTCGTCTATCGGGACCTCAAGGTGAGCTACTCCCTCCTCGTTCTCGTCCCTCGGCCTTTTGGGCCTTTGGGACATCGTGACGATTTCCTGGACGGATAGCTCCGCGCACCGCTCTGTTGGGGCACGCGAGACAGCGGTGGAGTTTGCTGCGCTGCCGCCTAGCAGTGGCTTGACACAAGGGCCATTGTGCCCTTACACGTGCAACGTTTTTATTAAAGCGCTTCAATCGTTGTTAAGCCAGCGGACGGAGGTCGGCACGCCGGCGGGGAATTTGAAGACCGAAACAGCGGCAGTGTTCGCTGCTGGGTCTGGTCGCTCAGTGTCTCCAGGACACGATGGGCAGGTTTTCCCGATTCACAGCAGCAGGCGGAGTAAAACCGGACGCAGTGCCGCGGGTCCACGCTACTTTTACAGCTAAATCAAATAAACTGGTCCCACTTTATTTTTGTATTTTAGTTAGGGGGCTGAAACTGATTCCTTTCTCCGTTGGGCAACCTGCTCACAATCTCCTCCTCCGTCCGCTTCACCCCTCCCCCCCCCAACTCCCGATGCTGAAGCTTGAGAATCTGATGCTGGACAAGGACGGACACATTAAGATCACCGACTTTGGGCTGTGCAAAGAGGGCATCACGGACGGCGCCACCATGAAGACATTCTGTGGCACCCCCGAGTACCTGGCGCCGGAGGTGTGTTACTGCAACCCCCCCCTCCCCCCCCCCCCCCGCCAACAGCCTGTTTCTCCTAGTTTATATTGCCCCTGTGTCTCCTTGTCACCGCTCACTTGTGTTCGTGTCGTCGTGTTCCTGTGCCAGCAACTCTCGTGTCTCCGTGTGACCATGCAACTGTGTCTCGTGTCTCCATGTTTTTCACGTCCGCACGCGTCCCTTGTGTCATCAGGTTGCCGTGTTCTTGAGGAATCTTCATCCCCATGTCTCTGGGCTTCCTTATTTCCGTGTCGCCATGTCCCCAAGGTCTGTCTGTCTCGGTGTCCCCCAGTGTTCTATTGGCCTTATGTCCCCCGTACATTAATGTTTCATGTATCCGTGGCATTGTTTACCCACGCGTCTATCTGTCCCCTTTTCCCCCGTGTCTTTCAGTCCAGATTTGTCTGTCCCTGCTTCTACCCCTAACCCCAACCCTAATTATCTTTCTTGTGGTATAGGTGTGCATGCGAATCCTAACTCTACCTCTGAACCCTAACTCCAGTCGTAACCCTATTCCCAATTATAACCTCAGTCCTAACCCTCTCCCCCTTACTGTGTGTGCATCCCAAACTCTACTTCTTAACCCCCCCCCCCCCCCCCCCACCACTCTTGCCTTACTGTGTGTGTTCCTATCTCTACCCCTCTCTCCCCACCACCACCACCCCAACTCGCCCCAGGTGCTGGAGGACAATGACTACGGGCGAGCGGTGGACTGGTGGGGCCTGGGCGTGGTCATGTACGAGATGATGTGCGGCCGCCTGCCCTTCTACAACCAGGACCACGAGAAGCTGTTTGAGCTCATCCTCATGGAGGACATCCGCTTCCCGCGGACGCTCTCCAACGACGCCAAGGCCCTGCTCTCCGGCCTGCTGCTCAAGGACCCCAAAAAGAGGTGGCACCACGAGGGGGGGGCCCCTGACCTCGCCGTCGCCACGTAGGGGGCATGGATGGGGGTGCCCATCGTTTGAGGCCGTCCAGGTGTTGGGCGGACTTCATTATTCAGCTGCTGTATAAATTTCCACGTGATTGATGAGCCGCTTCGTTTATGTGGCCAGCTCTCTTCTAAAAAAGAAGCAAATAGTTTGGTGGGCTTTACCTTCTAAAATGAAAATAGTAACAAAAAAAAGAGTGATTTGCTTACCTTTCCTCATACTTTGCACTCGATCGTGTTTTTATATTGTTGTGGTAACGTTCTGAACCGGCCCCTTACTGGACATCTGTGAAAAATAACTTTACAGCTCGCAGGATTGCTCCAGTTATCGTCTCGGGTCTGACACCTGAGACGAACGTGCCCCACTTGTGAAGGCTGGTTGAGCATTTGTCTCCGCCCTCGGCTGCTGTTTGCACGTTGCACCCTTGGCAGGTGTCCCGCTCGTTCCATGCGGGTGTCGATGTCTTCCAATCAAAACGTGGGCGCACAAAGCGAAATCGCACCACAGCCGCCTTGCCGAGGTAGCACGTATCGCTACACGGACAACACCCCGCGTCTGACCGTATGCGAGTGAATTCAGACAGCATAGAGCAAATTAATAATGATAATTTATAGAGTGCCCTTAAAGAATCGTTATCAAAAATACCACGTATATGTACGCGGTATTTAACTGCCTAATATGTACGCAAGATTGCAGGACCGGTTCACGTATCGCTCTCTTCTTTATTGTCAGCAGTGGTTGTGAATCGTACTCTGGTGGTGTGGTTTGTAACAACTTGCCGTTGCCCCAGATAGTTATGGGGAAGATGCCACTCGAACAAGTAGCCGGTATTTATTTTGCGTTGCGGCGCGTGTGCAGTGCGGTGACCTTGCGGTGTTCTGCGGCGCGGTGACCCCCCCGGAGGGCGGAGTGTGTGCGGTGACCCCCTCGGTGTGTGCGGTGCGGTGACCCCCTCAGTGTGTGAGGTGCGGTGACCCCCCTCGGTGTGTGAGGTGCGGTGACCCCCCTCGGTGTGTGAGGTGCGGTGACCCCCTCGGTGTGGCGTGTGTGCGGTGCCGCGCAGGCTCGGAGGAGGACCTGATGACGCCAAGGAGATCATGAGGCACAGCTTCTTTGCCGGCACCAACTGGCAGGATGTTTACGAGCGCAAGGTCGGTGCGGGCGGCAGAACCGTGCGGTCGCGGCGGGCCGGGCGTTAGGTCGTCGTCATCGATCGCGGCTTGCTATTGCTCCTCTCGAACGAGCTAGACCGGACGAATGAAACTCTTGCTACAGAACTGGACGGTGCAGAATGAGACGTACGGTACAGATTTATCATTGTTATTTTTACGGTCTGCTCGTCTTGCCGAGCCACGCGACCAAAGCTGCTCCATCCGCAGCAGCGCAAAGTGAAGGCCACGAACCCACCGCCGGGTCTAGCAACGGGGGGGTCACTCGATAGTTTACGGTATAGTCTAGTCGCTGACCATGTCTCTGGAGGGCAGGTTGTGGTCACTTTCGCCAGTGGGTGGGGGTGAGCGTGCTGGGCCCGGGGCAAATCTCACCGCGTGGGCCCTGCCGAAGTATTACGTCTTGACACCGTGACGTCAAAGCGTCTGGGCCCCCTAGAGCGTGGGGCCCGGGGCGGTTGCCCCATTTCGCCGTGCACCCCTGGGGGGGGGGTGGCTCTTGACGTTGATCACCAGGCATGGATGTTGGCTGCACACGGGAGCCTGTCCGGTGTAGAACCGGATGAGACGGGCGCAAACGGACGAGGTGGAACTTGCGTACAAATCGGTATAAACGAGGAAAACTATAAAGATTCAATGAATATTGTAGAGGTTACGGTTACAGCCCATTTTAAAGAGAAATATCCCTCTTTATAGCCTTTAACAGACGACCTGGGGCAAGTACTTGTTAGTGAGCACCGAATTAAGGCCGGCATGCCGCACGTGAGTGCGTGGCCAGCACCACGCCCGGCTGCTTTTGTCTCCCCAGTGGCGATGTTTTACACACTGCACTCATTTGAGGCTGAGTCGACCTAGGAGAGGCCCAGGACCAGTTCACACAATTGTTACTGACGTTGGCCATCGGCGGGAGTCTAACTTGGGTGTCCAGGTTCGCAGCGCAGCGCGCTACACCGACACTACCGCTCCCCACACGTAAACACACACGCATTCGTGTTCGGTATTGTACTCGGACACGCACGACGGACGTACGCAAACGTATGAAGGCACGTGCATGTGTTGCTCTATCGCCCCCCCCACCCACCCCGTGTAGCTGCCACCCCCCTTCAAGCCGCACGTGACGTCGGAAACGGACACGCGGTATTTCGACGAGGAGTTCACGGCACAGACCATCACTATCACGCCGCCAGACCGATGTGAGTAAGCACCTTCATCGCCACCATTATCGCCACTTAATTCAACATTATGCTTGCCCAGCTGTTATGAGTGTGACAACACCACCACCACATCTCCCACCGCCACCGTACCCGTGTATGTGTCTAAATCCCTCCACCACCCTGCCCTCTCCGCACCTCCGCAGACGACAGCATGGAGTCCCTCGACAACGAGCGGCGACCCCACTTCCCCCAGTTCTCCTACTCGGCCAGCGGCAACCAGTAGAGCCGGCGCCCGGCAGCACCGCGCACACCGGGATCTTGCCGGCTCCTCGCCTCCGGCCACACTTCCCCACTCCCCCCCCCGCCCCCACTCGGCCATCGCACCGACCCACCCTCCCCTCTACGCCCCCGTCGACATCGCGGAATGCCGTAAATACCCACGCCGTGCCGGACGGGGAGCAGCTGGTGGGGGCAGGGGGGGGAGGGGGCGACCTGGGGACGACGACAGTCGAGGGTGAGGTGGGCGCGGTGGGTATGGGGGCTATCGTGGCACCATTTGCCGCGGAGGTTCGTCCCAGGCGCCCGTTGGGGGACACGGTTGTCCGCACGAGGCTGTGTTCGATTTTCGTTTTTTTATTTTTTGTTTTTTTACTTTCACACGGCACTTTTTTTTTTTAACTGGCCGGTGGGCACTGGGAAATTGAGCCTCCCCCCTCCCCCCCCCCCCCCCGAGGGTTGTGGAAATGTCGGCGGCGGTGGTGGCACGAGTGCACGCGTGGACAAATATCAGAGCCGACGGTGGTTTTGTGCCGTGTGGGTAGGCAGCGTGCGCGACACGAGTTCTTCCAAAAACGACGACAACAAAAAAAGACACCGCGTGCTTTCCCATTGATGCGACCGCGCTCCTGTGCTCCTTCCACACAGCCACCACTCGCACAACCACAGTGGCGATTCTAGCACACGGTCGTCTGCATGGGGGTGGGGGGGGGGGCCGGGGGGAGGGGGGGGGCCCATCGAGCAGGCGAGCGCGACTATCTCACTGTGGTGGGGGTTTCCCACGCCCCTCCGCACACTCAATGCAAATCTTGGCGAGTTTGATGAGACTGAGGGTGCGGTCCCTGGGTTGGGGGCGGGGTAGACGGGATGGGGGTGGTGGGTGGGTTTGGTGGGGGGGGGGGTTCCGGTGTCGACCGTGCAACCGCTGATGGAATCCGTCAGAAGGAAGAGATGGCGGCATACGGGAGGTGGGGGGTGGGAGAGGTTTCGCGTTTGCGAGTCCGCCGCCACCTCGTCAACTTGAACTCCAGTGCCTCCCAAGCATCCCAAGAAGTTGTCTCTGAATTCCGGGGCACTTGATGAAGGGGGGGTGGGACAGTCGAGGGCAGGGGATGCGCTGCTGTTCATTCAAGGGTTCCATACTCTGCCAGGTGCCCCCTGGTAGAAACACCACTGTGGCAACGGGCCCCCCCAGCCCCCGGTCTTTCCCCCCTCCCCCCACCATCATGGGAACACTACCGTTACGACGTCGGCACCGTTCGGCGCACTTTGCGTGAGCGTTGAACTTTTTTTTTTGTAAACACTACGGCGGGGGGGGCAGAGCCTTGGAAAGGCCGAGCCCCCGCGCTCCCCGGCAACGACGACGAGGACGAACGCCCCTCTGACGGTCGCGTCCACCGGATGACGTCCACCGGATGACGTCCACCGGATGACGTCCACCGGATGACGTCCACCGGATGACGTCCACCGGATGACGTCCACCGGATGACGTCCACCGGATGACGTCCACCGGATGACGTCCACCGGATGACGTCCACCGGATGACGTCCACCGGATGACGTCCACCGGATGACGTCCACCGGATGACGTCCACCGGATGACGTCCACCGGATGACGTCCACCGGATGACGTCCACCGGATGACGTCCACCGGATGACGTCCACCGGATGACGTCCACCGGATGACGTCCACCGGATGACGTCACACCGGATGACGTAGCAAAAAAAAGGCGGGTCGAGAGGTGGGAGAACACGAAAAAAATCCTAATTTTATACATTAGAGTTAATCTGTGACGTTGCGTGCGTAACTATATAAATATACAAAAGTTATTATATCTGTATACAGTATATATATCACTAAATGCAGCCCGTGGCTCGGCGCTTATTTTCATGAGTTGCTGTAGGGGCGGGGGCAGCGGGGGGATGCGGTGGGGGGGGGCGGTCACGATGGCCGTTGCTACCGCCGCCGCTGAGCCTCCAGCCAGGGTCGTGAGATTCGGCCGCGAATGGGTCTTGTATAAAAAGAGGTCGCGGTTAAAAGAGCAGCGGCTGGAGTCGACTCGCCCACAGCCACTGCTGGCGTGTAGGGGGGACCTCCAGCTCGATGGAGCCCCGAGAGCGCGATCCCCTTCCTCTCCTCAAGCAATGTCCGTTGGCCTACTCCTCTTTCGCATCGGCCAGAGACCATCTTTCGAAAAAAGGTGGGAACGCCCACGCCGAACCCCCACCGCGCACACACCCCTTGCCGATCGTTGCGACTGCGGCGTGCCCGTTTATACTGCCGGGCGGCGAGAGGCTGTGGCGGGTCATTGGGGTCGGGCGGACTTAAGACTCGGGTGTCCCCACGGTTTCAACTTCCTATTCAGGATTTTGCACCAGCGATCCTCCTCTGGGTTGTCCCGGTGTGATCACCGTTGCACCGTGGCGGCATCCGTAGGTTCGTTAATTGCCGTCAAAAGGGCCAGCTCCGCGCAAGGTTAGCGGCCACGCGTGAGGGTTTGCGTGTGTCCCCCGGGCTTCGTGACCCGGGGTTGTGCGACCACAGTGATGGCTTTGTGTCGTGGAGATCATTCCGAATGGAGGCTACTCTCCTGCCAATAGATAAGCAGCCGAAGTACGATTGGGAGGAATGTCACTCGCGTGCCAATGACCCGCCCGTAACTCAGTCTCTTTTTTTTAGTGTTCTCCAACCCTTAAGGTCGAATGCATTTTTGGCCTTCTGTCTGTGTGTAAAAATGTGGTCATGATAACCCTCGTGAAAGATATAATTTAACCGGAATTTTAGACCCAAGTTTTGGATTGATATTTTCGGGACTGGCTCTGGAGAAAACTGACCACTTTTCCCCAAAGGATTTCCCAAAGACCATTTGCGCTCGAGTGCAAATAAAGCGGCACTAAGAAGGTTTTGAGGCCCTTTCGGCCCGTGCGACGACGTCACACCGTGAAGTCGCCTCCCTGTGACGTCACCTCGCGCGGCTCGGAAGGTGTAACATTATTATCCGCCATCGATTAATTTTGAGGACAAATGCGTGAGAATGTGACACGCAGCAGCCGCTATTGGCATCGTTAAGGCCGCAAACGCAACGCTCCGCAGCTCTCCCCCGAATACAGCATTGTCGGGCCCTGATCAATCCACTGCTGGATGAAGGCCTCCCCCGTGCCTTCACCATTTTTTGGTTGTTGCTGCGGTCCTGCAATGTCGATGTCTCCGCCACGGAGACGAAGTACTGGAATCTGTTCGCGCGCGCGCGTTTTTTGCGCAGGATGGTGCGAGAGTCGACGACGCCTCGAGGGCAGGCCGTCATCCAGCAGCGGATTTGATCGTGGCTGACGATTGACGAGCGCGGCCCGTACGCGAAGGCCACCGTTTAGGCAAACGGACGAATGCTGCGGCGCGTTTTGGGGCGTCGGTCGCTTTTCTACTTTAACTTATTTTCTTTCCCCCGCTCCGTGTTTTATATTTTCTTTTGTAAGGAAGAACCAAGTGAAAAAAAAAACGCTCCACACGGCTTGCCTCTTGCATGCGTGGACGCGTGGGGGGCCCCCCGGGTGTGTGGGGGGCAGGGTGGCCGTTTGGTTAAATAACAAAGACACTTTTTGTATTTGACGTTCACGCTGCAGCGTGAACTTGCCCCGCTTTTCATACGAGCCGCTGCAGAGCGCGATGGGGAGTGCTCCTTAACGTCGCTTTGAAAGGCTGTGTTCTCGGTAGCTCGTTTTTTTTTTACACTGCGCAAGGGCACACGGCGGTGTGCGGGTGTGTAAGCTACAGGGTAAAGAGCTGCTTGTTTGGGTTGCGTGGGGGGTGGGTGGGGGGCGATCTTCTCTGCCTTTAACAAAAAATGTGCAGCTACAATTAGTCTCGGAAAAAAAAAGTCAAACGTTTCACCGCTCGGGTTGGATCCACTCGTGCGTACGACGCGCGCTCCCCTTTCTCCTCCGCGGCTCATTCCTCGTGACTCATTCCTCTGCCGAATCGTTCCGCCGGCTCGCTCGGAGCCACCGCCCACGGCTCCGTCCCACTGCACTGGGGGTTTGCCTTTTTTTCGGCGCGGCGCACGGAGGCGGACGCTGCGTGCGGGAAAAATGCGACGGCTTAAGGAAGTCGCATTTCGGAATAAGAAGAAACCAAAGGTGATGCCGTTTTCATTTCGTGCGCCCACGGCAGCGCGTCGGTCTCCCTCCACCGCTGCTGTGGACGGGGAATCTCCATTTGTCTCCTTGCGACACCGCAAGTAACGTGCGCGGCCTAGATTTTTTCCGTTTTCAAATTTACCCCCCCCATGTTGGTGCCGATCGGCCTAACGTGGCTCGGGTCCTTCCTCCCACATTAAGTCTGTGTAGTGGTGCACACACGCTTTGGTGTTTTAATTTATTTGCAGGTAATTTTTCTAATAAGCCGTTTGGGCTGCTCTCTCGAGCCGAAATTGTCGTGGTCGCGACGATGACGATCGCGTGTCCATGAGAGGTGGGGGGGGGGGGGTAAGGGCTCAGCAGGGGGTGTTGGGAGGGTCGGACAGCGCACGGCCTGTGACCATCGCAGGCCATCGGCGTTAATGGTGCCGCTGTAGATGCGGGAGGGGGAGGGGGACGAGTGGGTGCGGTGATCGTCCGATGTGGGGGGTGTTTTTAACGGGTGTTCTACGCAGGTGAAGGCCGGTGTCGTGAAGGTCGTTTGGGATTGATGGTGGTTGTGCGGCCGACCGGTGTTTGGGGACGGAGCTTGTCCAGTTGCGCTTAGACGGTTGGGGTGCGTGCGTGCGTGCGTGCGCGCGGGTTATGATCGATTTGCGGGGGTGGTGGTGTTGTTTTGGATGGCTGTTAGCGACGGGGTGTTTATGGTGGTTGGTTGGAAAGGGTGCTGTGACGGTGGCTTTGGGGGGCTGGTTGGTGTTGTGCCGATGGTTTGGAAGGGCTGTTATCCATGGCTGCTTGCGAGGAACGGTGTTTGGGACGGGTTCCAGCCATCGGCGTTGGCTGTTTTTTTTGGGGCGGGGTGTTGTCACGATGTTTTGGGACTACTGTGGTGATCGATGCAGGGGTCATCGGTTTTCTGCGGGGTTGAGTGAGACGGGTGGTAACCAGGATCAGTCTACCCACCCCCCTCTCATTCAAAGGCATGACAAATAGGAACCGATATCTGTTCACCCGTGTTTTTGGAATAATTTCCTGCAGTCATTGCCCACAGAAGCTGCGGATTAGATGGATAAAGTTGGCGGGGCCACTCCTTAAACGATGTAGGGATCACTTTGTGTGTTTTCTTTTTGGCTACAGGTCACCCAGACTTATCTTTGGAAGTTTTTACACCACATTCCAAATGCTTCCACAGCTGCTTCAAAGCCGCCCAGTGAAATGCACTTTGAGCTCACGTATATATTTTGTGCGTGTTTTGTATTATTATTATTATCGGGATTGTCGTCATTTACGTCGTTAGTGATCGCAGCCGCGGCCCCCAACTCCAGCCGAGCGTCGATCGCAATTTGAAATCATTTTTGACCACGACTGCCCATGCCGTTAGGCGCGGCATGAGGGGGAGTCAAGGGTGACGTCCACCTGGGTGGGGGGGGGGGGGCCTGCGGGGGTCAGA